ACACACATACATACCTACATACCTACATACCTACATACCTACATACCTACATACCTACATACCTACATACCTACATACCTACATACCTACATACCTACATACCTACATACCTACATACCTACATAACTACATACCTACATACTTACATACCTACATACCTACATACCTACATACCTACATACCTACATACCTACATACATACATACATACATACATAGATCTGGGAATGCCGAAAAAAAGAGTAGGTTTGGAGATGTCGGAGGGCGTGGTGGTCATTGGACCCTCGGACCCACTTGGACAGACAGAGAGAAATCAGTACGGAAAGCAAGAAAGAAAAAAGAGAGGAAAGCAGAAAGCCGGAATGGAAGAAACACAAAAAAAAAAAAATGGCCGGCAAATCCTGAGCCTTTAGCTTCAAGAGAAAAGTTGGCTGGCACACCTTGAACCCTGAAAAGAGATGTTGGCTCGCAAGCCCTAAACCCTAAACGGAGATGTTGGCTGGCAAGCTGGCAAGCTCTAAGCCTCACTCCTAGCATTTAACCTTGGGTGGAGCGCCAATCAAGATATGTGCACTTCCACTGTTTGCAGTAAGGGAGGGTCATGCGGACCATTTTGTGTGCAAATGGGGCATTCCCCCCCCCTCCACCCCCCCACGGTTTTAAGGCCATCCATGCTTGCTATAAAAAGACGCATCATGTCATCATCATGTTTGCAGTCCCGGAAGGTTGCTCGGATCATTTTGTTTGCAAAGGTGGAGGGGTGCTGCGCTTCCGAGACCCCCGCTTTTTTAAGGCCATCCATGATGTGCGGATCTTGTTTTTGCAGAAGGGGGGCTGTGCTCCCCCCAACCCCTTTGCTTTCTGAAAGCCATGCATGCTTGCGGTAAAAGCATCATGTCATCACAATTTTGTCAGTGGGGGAAGGTTGTGCAGGTCATTTTATTGCAAGCGGGGAGGGCTGCGCCTACCCCGATCCCCCCAGCTTTCAGAAAGCCATCCATGCCACGTCAAAAATATCATGTCATCGGTTTGCAAGGCCGGGGCTGGGCGATCCAGCTGCGAACGAAAATTTTTCTAAGCGTTGCAATTCGCTGTGTTTACGTTCTTTGCCAGATTCCGAAGGCTGTAATTTACAACACGCATCGGCAAGCCCAGGAAATTCAGAGCTGGCGTGCTGTGATTTGCAGTATTTGCAAGCTCCAAGGAGTTCCACATGTTGTAACTTACAGAGCTGCAAATGCTGTAATCTAGATTCTAGACGAATTCCCATGCCAGAATTTGCAGTATCTGCAAGCTCTAGATGAGCTCCCAGCGCTGTAATTCACAACATCTGCCGTCTACACGGGCAAAAATGTTGCAAATAATCATGTCTGCAGCCTCTATGCGAACCACGAAGCACTGCAGTATATCTGCTGTCATAGGCAGGATTTTCAATCATAGGAAAATTTGTATCCCGTATCAATTCTTTCATCCCGTGACTGTCCCCGCTGCTTACAATCCACCAGGATTGGAGGGTCCAAAAGCGACGACCTGTGACCCTTATCACTTTCAGTCGAAAAAGATCCGGGGATCGAAAAGCGATGACGGTTACGAGGATCGCGACCCCAACCCCCACGATCCTTGTGAACGTCCACATTTGGCCAGCAGGATGTTTTTTCAATGATGCTTTTTATTGTGTGATCTCCAAACTGTATTTTCCTGATTATATTTTTTTTGATAGGTCACCCTACTTTCTTGCCGGTGGCATGCATGGAACGTCAAGGGCTCAGAGCAGGCTATGCTCCAGCTAGCTGTGGCCTAGTGAAACTCTAGAAAGCGCAGTGCTGGGAACCTCTCGAGGCCGGGATGGCCTCATGCCAGTTCCCCGGCCCAGGCTCCAAGAGTCTCCGAGTTGGCACGACATCTCACAAATTGCATGTGCTCTGTGGCAGGCAGCTGGAATGGAGCCGCATGGATCTCAACACTGTGGGTTGTAGAGTCTGCATCGCCTGCCTCCAGTCAGGTCAGCTGCCAGTACGTTGCAAGCTGTCCTCATCTCAACTCTAGTGATGTGCAGGTCTATGCCCTGCTGAAACCCGGAAGACTAAGGAGCTGAACATGGCATATGAGAGGATCAGACGGCAGGAAGTGGAACTGGAAGCTCTGCGTATCTGCCTCAGCAGGGTGGGCAGGGGTGCTGGAATCACTGAGAAGTGAACATGGCTTTTAGAAGCTGGGCGGCAGCAAATTGCACTGCTAAGCCAAGCAGTGCAGCAGTGGGTTGCAGGTGGTGCGTGCGAACAAGGCAGAGAATTAAATGCGTACCTCGTGGCCATGGCCTCAGCATGTCCGCTTCAGCTGAGCCAAGACTTTTTGTCAGCCATTGCCGGCATGTCCGACAAGTAAGAGTTCCAGAACAATTGAAGGACTCAGGTTAAGTTTGTGGAGTGCCCCTGCTTCGAAACTGAATGTTGCAGCATCCGATGCAACAGCAGGGTGGCAAATGAACCTGCAATTTTGTAATGCAAACACACTTCCACTGTAAGCGCCCCACGAGCTCAACAAGCCTTGCGAGAAAGTAGATGCACTTGTTCTCTGAACCTCGCTCTCGTCCTAGTTGACTTGGCACTCCCATTCAATCCCAATCGCATTTGCCGAATTATTGTACGACGACTGAGCGGCAGCTGAACTGTGTCGAACCTCATTTCCCTGCCCGCTGCTTTGTTTTTAGATCTAGGAGTCGGAATGAGCGATCTTCAGGCGGAGCTCCAGCGGGCAAATTTGATAATTCAGCAGCAGCAGGCAAGTTGAAGTTGATCATTTTGACGTTGCAGCTGTGAAGCGCTTTGTCAACAGCCAACGTAGATGAGTGTAAGCAAGTCGCAGGGCCAGCGCCCGCCGACGAATATACCTCAGGCTGCACGTACTCCCTGTTTTTGAAGACGCTGTGCTGATCTCTGACTTTGCACAGTCTTGGATAGCTTTGCTGTAGCAGGCGGCCGCATATGGGACTCCTTCGCCACAGCTCGGGGCCAAGCTACTAGTGAATGCTGATTACGCCATGCGCTCACCAGGTAGCCCTAAGTATGGCACCTGTGGCCACAAGTTGTGCAAGATTCATTAAGTTCTTCTAGTACATCGGGAAGTAGTCTGCTGTCCTTGGCGTGCTCCTATGCAAGATTCATAAGGCGTGAGTATACCCCGTGGCCCGCAGCCTCCACAAGCTTCCCGCCGTTGGGGCCTAGATTTCTCTTCAGCATGCCGCTGCTTGCCGATCCATGCTGAGCCATGCAAAGATTAAGGAATATCCTCGAAATGTGCAAATTATGCAGAATCAACTAGAAGAGAACATGGGAAATGAAATGACATTCAGGTGATATGTTATGTGGGTTACACAGGATTACTTCCCCCTCAAAAGTAGCAGCCAGCCAGTCTGGTTCAAGTCTACGAGTCTTGCTTTGGTGTCTTATTGGTTTCGCCTTAATGACCTGGCAGTGCCTAAGTAGTGTGTGCAGAGATGAAGCCTGATTGACAAGCAGTGATAAGTAGAGCATTGCTTAGCAATTCCCATCTAAGTGTTTTCCCGTGGTCTGACAGAGGTCGCCAAGCTCATTGCCAACTCCAAAATGTTCAGGGGCAGGACGCAAGAAGCCAACAGCTTCACTGCACCGGGTCTGGATAATGGAAGCAGCTCTGATACTTGTTCACTGTCCAACGCGCTGCTACATGTGCAGGAGGTCAGTCCTCCGGCCTGCCCAGCACATGGCAGGATCAAGAATTAGAGCTGCTGGAGGCTGTCTGAGCGACTTACGTGTCAAGTTCTGGTTGGCTTGTCGCTGCCCAGAGACAGCTGAAGGACCTGCCGCACGACATCCCTACCGTAGGGTCCCAATGGCATGCAGACGGCACCTGCCCGTGTCTCAAAGTTTCAATACGTTTCATGTTGTAGCCCAATAGAGCAGTGCACTTACGTTTGGTGCTCGTACTTGTTCGGTGCATGTTCGAGATTTGCGGCAGGGCCTACATCAATCTGGGTGTCCGGGCGTTTTGATACATGCTGATGTTGGAGTGAGTGTTTACATTCAAAAACTACCATGCAAGCAACCTTCGCTTGATCCAACATCCGCTGGCACAGGCACTAATCTAGCTGCCAACGAAGCTGGTTCCCACAACAGCGTGCCCCGGAGCGCGGTCAACAGCGTACTGTGCGGCAAGCAAGGCAGCTCCTGCTGTTAACCGGCGCAAAATGCAAGAAGCAGAAGTTTAAAAGGTGCATTTCAAAGTAGGCCTGGAATTCGCGCTTGCCTGAGCGCAGAACTTATGTAGACTGGCACTTTGCAATTTCACGGCAGAGGAATGACGCTGGTGCCTAGCCATGTTCCATTTTGAACCCTCTAGATTCGAAGCTCTGCCGTGCAAAGGCACGTGATCGGATATCAATTTCGCCTGAAGGCGGGAGGCAGATTGTGGAACACGCTTAATTGTCACAATGCTTCATCTGAAGCTGGGAGCTTTGACTCCGCGCTTCAAGTGGGCAGCTTCTACAACTCGCGTAGTAGGGACTGTGAAAAGGACTGGTGCGAACAGCTGGAATTCGCCCCAACCGCGCCACGTACATGCAGGTGAAGCACAAAACATGAGTGAAG